CATTACAAAGCTGTTGGTTGCCATGTCTAAAATGTCTGCAAATACGAAGCGGATGATGTTTGATAGCAACATCATTTTCAGAATTCCAGCGTTGACAACGCTTTTTGACCATGAGAAGGCTGATATTATTGCAATTAAACGTTTATGTTATTAATTTCTTTAAATTAATTATGATCCTTTTAGTAAAAACCACCAATAAACTGTTCTCCGGGTGATATGTCGTCTAATTCATATCGACTGCGCAGATAAATTATTTGACGTGGGCAAATACGAGCGAAATTCTCAAGCATTGCAATCCGACAGTTTGCTAAAAAGTCCGTTTATTCATCTAGCTTCAGAATAAACATTTTAGTGCTAATTCTAAGGGAAAGTGTACAACTGGGGGAAAGAAAGTGTTGGTTTCAATACATTCCTCCTGAAGAGGGAAAGTCTCACTACTTAACCCGTGCTATGGAAAAAAGGCAACAATTTAGAGCAGTATCGTCTATTCACACCAAGTTTACCGAAATATTTTCCCCAATGCTCGTCTTTATCACCCGTTTCTGGTTATATTGACTAACATTTCCATAAAAACAAAGAACCTAGGAGATAAAACATTCGAACATAGCGATCTAAACCTGCCTTAGCCCACTAGGAAGGCCTGTAATTGATGTAAATTCCAACCTAAGTAATCAGAACACTGGATGCTTAAATTTATGAAGCCGTCGTAATATCTAAACAAAAGAACAGAATATCAAACTTACATCGACTCAGCCATCACTCTACTGATGATAAAGCTTGTGTTGCTTCAGGATACTCATAAACCCAAAAATGTTCGGAATAGTCACTTTTACGAAAATACCGGTGTTCATGCTTTTGAAGTCGGCAATAGCTTGTCCTGAGACACTTTAATAATTGAACTTGAAGTACGATAATCTTACTGGTTTAAATTAAAGTAAACTAATGACTTTTCCATAGAGATAAAAAAAATTTCGAAGGTGATTAGCAAGTGTGTGTTTGGTCAACAGCAGGCTTTACGATTGAAAATACTTGGTCTCTAACCTATAGGTTGCATATTTCAATCCGATTTTACAAAGTTGTGTTCGAAGTCAGATACATTGGTTGCTAAAGTCACTAACATCTTAAAAACTGTGCTTTCAACAGTGATGATTCTAAAGATAACAGGCAATCACTATCTGTAATTAAGTGAAGGTATAATTAGTTCAAATACTATTTCATTGATAACTTTTGTAATACTTCGATGAAATATATGTAATTATATTATCTCGTTCTTTCTAGATATATTTTGTGAAATTCCCAATTTATACATTCAAAATTTATGACCAATCATCAAATGTTATCTGTCAGACATTAAACGCGCTCTTGCAGCAATGGAATTTGCACACATCGTTTTCAGAGTAGCCTTATCTGGGGATCCCAGTATGTTACTACAGATTTTAACTAACAACCCAAGTTTGGTGAATCTTCCTGACTTCGATGTACGTCTGAAAATTTGTTTTGATTTAACAGGGTAATATGCCACTTCATCTTGCTGCTATGTCTGGCTCGTCAGAATGTGTTAAGATATGCCTTTCTGCTCTGCAAACTCGCAAGGATCTTGACTGCACAACGGAAGTTCGACGTCGAAATTTCATGGTAGGTTAATGTTATTATAAGAATTTTCCAAAGGGTAAAGATGCTCTGACCATTTCTGTTGAGAAAGGTGACTGTGAATCATTCAATTTACTACTAAATGCAGGAGCAGATACAGATTATCGGTGTATGGATGATGTACCTCCTCTGGTGGCTGCTTTAGGTCAAGATAACGTGAAGGTTTGTTCACATTATATCATTGTACTACTAAAACTTAGTTAACTGCTAATGTCCTAGATGCACTCGATATAAATTTCCTCCGTTTACGCTGGGATCGCTATTGGATTTTAGCATTGCATGCTGACTTATTGATATCTTTAGCTTATTTTAAGCTCCTAAAGGCTCATGCCGTTCCATACAGACTAAGTGATTTTGAGGAAATTTGTGCTACTGTTCTCGAAGTAAGTCCCACGAATAAATCAATTTTTCATACATTGCCATGAGTGTCAGCAATTAGTGAGCCTTTCAGTTTTAAAAGCCACCTTTCATTCACCCCTAGCCACTAGGAGAGGTTAAAAAATAAGACTTCTGGCAAACCTATTTCCCTGCTTGCGACACTAGCCTCGCATACGACAACGTTAATTTAATTTCATTACAACTAAAAGATCCTGTTGTAAGACATTACCTCTATTTCAGTATTGGCTCCCCTTAGTTTAGCTAAACATTTGTACAACTGTAAAATGCAGAATCAGTGCATTTTAGGAAAGTATGTGCGGCTGCGCTAGATTCGATGTAAGGCTCACCATTTTAGAGGCCCACGATGACTCCATGTTTAAGAGCAGTCCGATATGCCATGAAAAAAATCTCCCCTTCGGTCTCCGTATATCTTATTTAGGCGAACCCCGTTTGTGCGACGTCGGTAATTAGAAGCCAAATATGGATTCGGTTGGACGAGTTTATTTCAGCCAATCGTTTGAGCAGACATGCATAGGAATGAAAAGCATACAAGCAGGGTGAAGCGAAGTGCAGGTGTGAGTCAGCTCCATACGATAAAGCATGACTCAATATTTATAGTCAGAAAATAAGCGGTGCACACGCATACTTGAATAAAAACACTCGAGATAATAGCGAATAGTCGACAAGGTCGAAAGGCGAGGGAATAGTAACTCGGGAAGAATGGATTAGTTAATTCGTCCGAACGCTCAGGACAAGCTCTGTGGGCTCTATGTGAGAGTACACGAACTACACTTGTAAGCTTTAATGCGCAACTAACTCCTCCCGTTTTAGAGATACCAGAATAACATTAGTACTCCCGAAGAGAACACAAAAACGATACTTAAACCTTAGAAACAAAGTCACACTACTAAACAGTACTCCGTTCAGCACTATTATAATAGAAAAGAGACTACTTATTGAATCGGCAACACTTAAAAGTGTCCCTTGCAAAGAGTACAGACTGTCATATGACTTTGTTGCAAATGCTACAAAAATCTAAATGAATTATCGCTTTATTGATTATTTGTTATTGATATGTAGAAAGAACCCTCAGTAAAGGGAATCGAAGAATTCTTGGTTTACTTGGGCTCAGATGCTGTGGAGCGCTGGTCTACTAGTCAAGAGGAGGTATCTCTCTGCTTAGCCCGCATATCATCTTACTTTTTGAGAAAAATCGTTCCATTTAGTCAAAACTTCAGTTGTGTTCATCATTTACAAAAGTTAGGATTATACACGGCCCCATCATCTGCTAGAACATGGCTGCAAGTTCTATCGCAATGGGGATTTCCAAGGATTTGTATTGAACGACCAGATATCCAAAAACAATTAATTTGTAATTTGGCGGATATTGATAGGATTCCAAAAACTACAGTTTCTGACAGATGTTTATTGCCACTCGTGTTATATTTCGCCGCCTTAGCTTTACGCTTCCCAAATCCAGATTGGATCGATTGTTGGCATGAGGTTTGTTCTAAGGCGAACTTTAATGAGCACGAATACAACCTGGGGACACTTCTGGAACTACACACTATACGTCAGTCAAAATCTGTCTTTGATTTTTTCTGGCATAATATATTCACTTTTACTATCTCACGTGCTGTATTGTATACTAATTTGAAACTATTTTCTCTAGATGATACTCAGTGTTCTATGAATGAATTCCTAAGCCACGCCTACTGTGAATGTCAATTATTACAACCACTGCCTCCACGAAATGATGAAAAACTAATTTACCTCCTTTCTTACTTTCCAGCATCTAATAATATTCCTGGACATGAAATCTTTATGTCTGTTGTTTACCAGCATTTTCTACCATTGATATCCGATGACGATAGTGAATGCAGTAGTTGCTCAAGCATTAATCCTAATGTACTTATGACCTCTACAGTCCACGTGCTTCATCAATACCCTTTATTAAATCTTATTGTAAACTTTTCAGCTAAATTAGGTTTGAAATTTTTGAGCAATTTTCAGGACTGGCCACGTTCAATATCAACCGATTATAGAGTCAAGTTGCTCAATATACTAATTGCATGTTACGTTGAGTCTAGTCAGCATACCACAGTACCTAGAAATATCTCCCAGATACGGCCAATGAGACAAACTGGTAATGTTAGTTCTAGTTATTTAAACAATTCAGTGAATGATTGGCTGAATAAATGGTCGTCTGAGCCAAAACGTCTCTCACTATGGTCAAAAATTACAATACGCAAATGTCTCAGATATTCCACGCAACATCGTTCTCTGCCTAAGCAACCTGTGAATGAACTTATTAGGAGCTTACCGTTGGCTCCAGTGCTCCAAGAGTATCTTCTAAATAATGAATACTTGAATTGATCTTGATTCTAGTTACTTTTGCAATCTAATCTTTAATTGTACACTCGTTTACAACACAAGCATCACTACGATCTTGAGTGAATACACATGTTACACCGAGTGCTAGTTGTGTAATATCATGTCAAGTAGGTGAAAGAAACCTTCATGAACAATACTGCGGAAATATTTGTTCGAATGGTATCAATTGTATTATTGTTATATAGCTAGATAAGTGGAATAAAATTTCAAGTAACATACTTGTTTTCTGATTGACAGAAGGATATCTCGTCCGTAGACGATAGTGGATACGGTCATAGTACGCTAAAATCTGAAAAAAATCACCGAACCTACAGCTGTCCTTCCATTCCAGGAAATATTCAGGGCACTGGTTTAAATGCCTGCTAATAATCGAAAAAGTATGTCTCTTTAGAAACGTTAGTTTGAACACCCTTGTGTGACAGATGATACAAAATAAAGGGACATGTGCTTCAACAAATTTATGTAAAAATTAAAGAATGTACATGGTTTATTCTACTTCATCATCCAAATCGTCAGCTTCTTCTAAAGCCTGTTTGGCGAATGTCTCTGCTTCATCAAAGAGTTTGCGGGGGACAAGCTGATGTATACCTTTTGTATCTAAACGTATATACATCAACGAATCAAAGGACTTACTTGCACCGACCCAACTAAGATCCAGTTCAAAATTCTTATCTTTGATTTCATCATGAACGGTGTAAATTCTACAAAACAGGAAATCGTGATGGCGACTGACTCAACATCATAAAGCATGTTAAATAAGTAATCATTTGACTAATTTCAATCATAATGGTCGCGAACTTTTATTACACTTTTTTGTCTGTTATCACTATTTTTTTAATTTGGTATCTATTCGAATGGGCGAACGCTAATAAAGGTAATTATCGACAGGGAGAATAACATTTTCAATGGTGCAAAATATGTTGGATCTGTACTCTGTCTTACGATCAGTCAGATACGCTTTTTCATAAACGTATGATGAAAAGTCTACTTTCAAAGAATACTGTGATTTTTAGGATTTGATAACAAACAGCCATTGTTATTTCCCTAGTCATGAACGACCAAGTGTTCGCAGTGAAAGTGTAATGATGTACAAAGTAATTTTGTACTTAATTATTTTGAAATAAAATATTTGATTCGGCTACAAACATATTGCTGGAATTATTTGCTTGTATTAAGAAACCATTTTCTTAGGCTGGAGTTGTGTCGAGAAGAAGGAGTCTGAATTTTTGTTTATGTGGCTTAATTTTAAAGACCAAAATAAGGTTGCATAATTATAGAAAAGTAAAAAAATAAAACGAAATGTGTGAAAGAGTTATAGGTGTTTCAGAAAACAACCCCGTTCATTGTGCAGAAAGGAAGTTGAACACGTTTGTACATTTTTCGGTCAAAGAGAACCTCATAGACTTGGCAACTCTTTCTAATTTTCTGATTCCTCTTTATTCCTTTTGTATTATCACTTCACTAATATATTTAGGCTGATCATTGACACGGTTTACTGTAATACTTAGTGGATATTATTTTGCTGACAGTCCGTGCATCATTCAAAACGGTAGGACAATTTTTTCGATCACAGCATATAGGTAAATCCTCTTTCAGGAAAGAAAATCTAGATAACTATTATGCATCTTCAGCACAGCTATCATACGACAAACTGTAGAAGTCAATAACACACTGCAAGCTTCTGGAAGCACGTATATTGACCGACCAATCAGAAGTACTTAATTTGGGTATCGAAAGCAAAAGCGACGGAAAAGGCAGCGGCGATAGGTAACAGTAGACTTATCAAGGAAACTTGTACTAGGAATCCTATTGTTAGTGAGACTATCCCGGAAAAAGACGGGTCTGTTATTCATTCTGAACCCTGTAGATTGGATAGATGGACATAACATTTTAGGAAGCAGTTCAACTGTCGTTCACACACTCTTTGGTTACCCACGATCTGCAGTCAACCAGAATGGCAAATCGATATAAGTCCTACGAATCTTTATGAAGTTGAGAAAGCGAGGGAGAGCAGCAGGCCCTGATAGGTTAACTCCAGAGATTTTCAAGGATGGTGGTCCAGTTTTAACAGTTAGATTAACCGAGATCTTAGGTAGAATCTGGGAACTAGGCGTAATCCTATCTGACTGGCCTTAGTCGCTGATTGTCCCAATTTACAAGGACAAAAGTTCTATTGTGACAATCACAGAGGAATCAGTCTAACTAATATAAAATCTAAAATATTGGCCTCAATAATAATACGACGCTAAACGAAAGCTAGCCAGAAGCAGACTAGAAAAACCGGGCTGGTTTTCGACCTGGACGTGGTTGTATAGACCAAATATTCACACTACGTAAAGTCCTGGAACATAGACACACACCCAGACGCCCCACAACAGTAGTATTTCCCGATCTTAAAGCGGCATTCGACTGTCTATCGTGAGGTTCTGTGGGAGTGTCTGTCGTTAAAAGGTATGCCAGAAAAGTACATTAACCTTATACAGGCTCTCTACTCGAACACCACTGGTCGAGTGAGAGCCTATGGTGAACTGTCATCTGAATTCTCTACATCAAGTGGTGTCCGTCAGGGCTGTCCACTCTCTCCATTCCTAATTAACTTTGTCGTAAAAAAATGCTTTTCGATTTAGCTTTATTTATGTCCAACTTTTTAGGAGTGAACCTTCTACCAGGAGAGACGCTTGCTGACTTACAGTATACTGATGACATAGTTCTCTATTTGGTGAAGACGCTGACAAAATACAAAGTCTTCTGACTACCCTAAGCGACAATGCAAGCATATTCAGGATGCGATTTCCCCCACCAAAATGCAAAATGTTGCTTCAGGATTGGGTTGCATCGGCACCTGAACCAGTGATAGGGAGTGAAGTAGTTGAACGTGTCGACCACTTCACTTATCTGGAGTCTCATTAATGCTGATGGTCTGGTGACTGACGAAACTTCGGCACGGATACAGAAGGCTCGACCGGCTTTTGCCAACCTTCATCACTTAAGGAGTAGGTGACATATCCGTTTACTAACGAACGGACGAGCGTACTGCGGAGCAGTTTGCTCTGGCCTACTATGTGGATACGAAACATGGCCGGTAAGATTAGAAGACATTCGTAAGTCATTCATATTTGATTATAGATGTCTTCGAAGCATTGCCCGTATATTCAGGCACAACCGAGTAAGCAATGCTA